TGCGCCTCCCCCCCTGCCACAGCCTTGCTCTGCGTGCCGCTGGAGCAGGGCTGTGACTCACATCCCCATGCCAGGCAGGTCTCGTCTCGGCACCAGCATTTCGGTTCTCAGTCACATCCACAGCCAGGTCTGGGTTTCCCGCAGACGACAGCAGCCACATCAGAGGCGTGCTGCTGACAGTGAGCGATGGTGCACCATGACACACAGAAACCCTGCTGGGGCCAAATCAGCCCCAGGCTCAGCTTCCACCAGGAGCAGAGGCTGGAAAAGCCACTTCACCCGTGTCCCTTGCTGCGTCTGCCAGGGCCGAGCCACTGCAGAGCCCTCCAGTCCTCCCCCACCACCTCCCAGTCCCTCCCAGCACGGTGGCTGTACAGTACGCAGCCTTCGCCCCACCGGGGCACAGCCTTGCCCAGTCTCCAAACCAAACCAGCGGCTTTATACATCCATTCCCTGGATGTTCTGAAACAGCAGAAACAGGGAGAGGAGAGAACAGCTCTGGCGGTGGGGCAAGGCAAAGGTCTCGCTGCTTGGGCACCAGCGGGACCTGCGCTGCTCTGGGCAATACCGAGGGGCAGGTTTCACCCTGGTGGTTTGGCTGCCAGCACTGGCTGGCCCAGCTGCGCAGGTGTGCTGGGTAGGTAATGCCCAGACAGGAGCCCCGGCTCTTGCCCGCAGCCAGAGCCTTGCCTGGTCGCCTCCCGCAGAACCCCCGCTGCCTCCGTGGCTGGCGCGGGCAGGAGGAAGCCACGGGCCTCGATTGGACCCCATTTCCTTCCAATTCAGTTTGAAACCTCTTCAAAAATGTCACCCTTGTAGACCAGTCGGGCTTAGTCTGCCCAAGCTCACCCGCAGCGTGCCCATGCAGTCAGAGGTGTCTATTTTTGTAGTTCAATATTTATATATTATATTAAAATGCTTTTACGAGATTCTCAGTAACAGTTCCTAGGCCAGCTCTTTGGTAAAAACAAAACCCTAAGCATATGAACTGCATTAGCAGGACAGAAATTAGCAGCTTTTGTACCTTTTCTTTGGCTGTGGTGTTAAGTCAGGCTTCGGAGGGCAAGACTCTTCCTGCTCCCGCCAGGGCACCGTCAAGGGCTGGGACCCCCCACTTCCCAACTGCTACCATGGTCTCTAACGCACCCCTGAGTTTGGGAAGAAGCCCAGCAAAGCCGCACCTGGGCAGGTCCCCCCTAGCAGGGGTCTAGGGAGCAGTCACCCTGGCTGAAGCCCTGCAGAGGTGTGCAGCTCCTGGGGGCAAAGGCAAAGCCCTAAGGGGAAATTTTTGCAGCCCCTGACACGTCCGGAGCCACTGCCTCAGGAGCCAGAGCCCAGCAGAGCCCCCACTGACTCCCGCCTGCCCTCCCCAACTGTCACCCCCTGCAGAAGGCTGCAAAGAGCCCGGGCAGGGCACTCACTTGCCCTGGCTGCAAAGCATCGCGTGCCCAAACTGCCTTCCAGGGCAGGCGGTGGTGCAGGGGCAGCATGGGGTGCATTGGTAACGCCCAGCTGGGGTATGAGCACCTGGGTACAGTTGCACAAGGGAGAAAAGCCCCGAGTCTGGCTCTCGGTAAGGCTGTGGGATGTTTCCCACCGCAAAGTGATTTAAGGCGGGCTCTGCCCATGCCCCAGCTCTGGGGAGAGTCAGGGTGCTCGGGGCCTTGCTGTTGCCCACCCCTGCGGAGGCAGAGCAGAGCAGGGCAGCAAGGGGCAATTTGTGCTGCATTGCAGCCACCCAGTTCCCGGTGGTGAAGTGCCGTTTGGCCTTTGGAAATCACTGTTTCTCTCAGGTTCAGAGAAGTTCTGCTGAGGATTCGTCTCTATTCTCTTTTAACATGAAAGAGGGTAATACATGTCTCTGCGCTGTTTGGCTGTTCCTTTAGCTGTGGTGTGCACAGCAGCTTTCCTCTCTCCTTCCTAGACAATCCTCATAAACAGTGTGTTGCATTTTTATTATGAAATCCTTCATAAGATCATGGTGTTCATGACTGACCTGAGCATTGAAAAGGGGAGGGAGGGGTATGATCCTTCTTCTGTGTAAATACCTTCCTAGCAATCATCATTTTTAGTGCCTAGTATGTAAATGAAGCAACCCTGTCTGAGCTGCAGGATCCCTTCCTCGTCACCACTAATTAGCAGCTTGCTCAAGGAGTTGATCTCATTTCCAGTCCGCCGATTGCTTCTCCCTCCTCCTGGTGCTTGCGGGCAGCTGGGCAGGTCCTGAGCCCCACAGCCCTTGGATGTGCAGGCAGAGCTGCCTACAGTGAGGGGGTGTTGTTTCCCAAAGGGGTGGAGAGGGAGCACCCCAGTTCCCCCCCTTCATGCCAATGTAATGTGCTTGGAAATGAGTTGTCGGGGCGAGCCCTGCGCTTTTGCCTGGGCACCCTTGCCTCAGAGCGGGAAGGATCAGCTCCTGCGTGCTGTACCTGCTTCAGTCACTGCTGCTTTTCTTGGGGGGGAGGGAAGCTCTAGAGATACTATATATACACTTATATATATATATACACACATGCACTTGATTTGAAGGGAAAACACTGTATGATTGTAATAGAAATGATGTTGAGATAAATTATTTTAATCTTTGTATTTATATAAAATGATCAAAGAGATCAAAATGATCCAAAAAAAAAGAACAAAAAGACAGCGTTCCTATTTTTTAATGAGTAGGCCGCTGTTAGCCACAGCAAGCCCCAGGGAGCAGCGGGAGCCCGGGCAGTGCCTGCCCTCCTCTCCCTGGGCAGGGGGCTCTTACAGACCCCCTGGTCTCAGACTGTAAGTTAGCCCTTAGCCTGTAAGGTGTAACAGGGATCTGTAGGTGTATTTAGTCAGCGCTGCCGGACTCCTTGGGAGCCCAAAGGGTGCGTATAGCTTTGACCTGCGCCGTAAACCTGACACACATAGACTGAGGAGTGTAACTGCTGACACCTATGTGCTTTGTATGGAACAAGCGATGTTTAATGTAGACTCGTAAAGC